TATATATATACATATTATATAGAAAGCTCGGGCCTGACGGGAGCAATAGGCATATACCTCGTCAACATGACGACAGGACCATATGACCAGGCTCCTCTCGTCAAAGACAATAATTCATCTTCAGACCAAGCGACTATATGTTTACTGAAGTGCTCGAGCGCTCGACAAGTCATCCACGGACGTGTGGACAGGGCTATTATATATGTCAGCGAGGTGCCATCGCTCATGGCAAATGATATACTGACATGTCAACGGGGTTGTGTGTCGTACCTATATCACTAACATAGAAATAAAACGTTTAGTCTTTTTAAAGAAACGCAGAAAACTAGAAAATCATTGCACGAAGATTTATTTTTTATGAATGAACTGGTGCGTTTGATGTCCTTCATTTACTTTAGCCAAAGTCAACCATGCTGAAGCGAATACGTAAACAAGCAAATCAATCTGAGTGCAATTTTGTTTCATGCACACATGCACGCATATAACATTTCGCACGTACGACAGATATACCACATACGCACTATACGCGTATTATTACATTCGCCATTATATTTATTATATGTATTTATCTATCTACTGGTTGACTAGCGCTAGTTACTAGATGTATCCGTGCCATTATCAGGTCATTGAACACATTAATGTAATTTTAAAGCCGTATCGGATGTTTACCACACCTTGCTGCGCACGCTCACCTTGACTCTGTGGTCGCGCACCCGGACGCCCCCTGGCGACCGCGAGGCGTAATCGCCAGATCACGTGGGAAGAGGAGCGGCGCGCACCTATGTATACATCCGGGACATCGCGACCCGCGACATCCGGGACACGGCGTACGTGGGCCATGACGCAGCCTTCGCCCCCCCCCTCCCGACCGTAGCGTATTCCGCCATGTATCGCGCGGCGTCTGCTACTGTTTCCATGCGGTTCGCGTGATGACACTATGTGCATGCGCCGCGAATACAAGGGGATGCCGACTCCCCACTGCTGCAGGAGCAGCAACAGTCGTAGTAGTAGTAGTAGTAGTAGTAGTAGTAGTAGTAGTAGCAGCAGCAGCAGCAGCAGCAGCAGCAACAACAGCAACAGTCGTCGTAGTAATACCAGCAGCAGCAGTAGCGGTAGCAACAACAATAGTAGTAGTAGTAGTAGTAGTAGTAGTAGTAGTAGTAGTAGTAGTAGTAGTAGTAGTAATAATAGTAGTAGTAGTAGTAGTAGTAGTAGTAGTAGTAGTAGTAGTAGTAGTAGTAGTAGTAATAGTAGTAGTAGTAGTAGCAGTAGCAGCAGTAGCAGCAGTAACAGCAATAAGTAACACCAGTAGCAGCAGTAGCAGCAGTAGCAGCAGTAAGTAACAGCAGTAGCAGCAGTAGCAGCAATAAGTAGCAGCAGTAGCAGCAGTAGCAGCAGTAGTAGCAATAAGTACCAGCAGTAGCAGCAGTAGCAGCAGTAGCTGCATTCATATACACTCCACTTGTTTGTTCTGTTCCGCGCCAGCGGAGCGCGAGAGGGGATAACGATAGTGATCATGTAGAAACACAGAGAGAGAGGGGGAGGGAGGGGGAGAAAGAGCGAGCGATGCACACACACACACAGACATACAGAAAGAGAGAGAGAGCGACAGGGGAAGAGAGCGAGGAGGGGAAAAAGAGAAGGAGAGAAAGAGAGGTAGAGGGAGAGGTAGAGGGAGAGGGAAAGAGAGAAAGATAGAAGAAGAGAAAGAGAGGGAGGGAAGAGGGAGAGAGTAAGAGAGAGAGAGAGGCGAGAAGGAGCGAACGAGCGAGAGAGGGGAGAAGGAGCGAACGAGCGAGA